AGATTTTATCATTATGTTCAACAGCATTATCATCAATACCATCAACAATCATCACAGAAAAAATCCACAACATCCATTCCAAAACAACAATTATTTTGTGCATTAAATAAATTGGATAAAATGTTAATATCGTTTGGAAAAACGTATGCAATCACTGATAAACAACCAACAATGATTGATTGTCATTTAATGCCACGTTTACATCAAATACGCGTCTTGTTAAAACAATTTGATAATGGTGATGATATCCCCTTGATTTTCAATGGTATATGGAAATATTTATCCATAACATATGAATGGTATATATTTTGTCAATGGTGTCCAAGTGATCAAGAAATACAAATACATTGGATGATGAAATCAGAATATTCAAGAGTAAAACCACGTGAATATCGTTTAAAAATGATTGAATTAATTCGTTCAAAACCTACATATAGTTTTCAGGATTTTCCAAACGTTGAAGATACTAAATTATAGAGAAAAATGTTTATGCAAAATTTTTTTCTGATTTTTTTTTGTATTTTTCTGTTTGTTTTCGCCTAATTTATTTTCATCGTCGTCGTTGCTGTTATAAATGAAAATAAAATTGAATGTTTTTTCTCTTCCATTTGCTATTCTTCATGTTGATGATGCGAAGAAAAGAATCATTACGAATTTCGTTCAATTTCAATTTTAAATAAAACAAAGTTCAATAGGCAAAAGGTTGCAAGAAAAAAAATGTCATTATGGGTTATAGTGGAGAAAATGTTTTGCATTTTTATTGAAATTAAATATCATTTTGAATGAGAGAAAATTCAATCTTTTTTCTTCTGAATTTGGTTGAATCAATCGTTTGCCTTTGAAAAATGAAACCCAGAATCCAAAAAATGATGGCGTCATGGCGTTATGGCCAGAATAAACGGACGAATTTTACTATTATTATTATGGATGGGTTCGGTTGAATGAACCGAATCGCTGAGACTTGTTCAGAAAACCCAACAGAAAAAACTGAGAGAAACAAATATCAAGAAACAAAACGAAAAATTAGACAATAGAGTTGATCGTTTGGCTTGTTCGGTTTGGTTTGAA